TTCTTCCTCTCTTTTACCTAAGATATATATCTTCACAGTTTCCTTTTTGTTTTTATGCTTTTTCTTTTCTTTTTTTCCTTCCTTCATTCCTTGCATCAGTCATTTATACTTTAATTTTTTTTCTTTTACCTTGAGGACATTTTTTCACTGTGCCTTGTCAATTTACATTTCTTTTCCTTTTTTTTCTTCTTCCTTCATTTTTTATAATGTACATTCATGCTTTCATTGTTTGAGGTTTTGTAAATTAATGTATGTGTTCAGAGCTGTCCATATGTTACAATATGATTTTGTTGCAATTGCATAGGTATGATATACCTATGTGAGCAAGTGGCCTTCTGAAAACTACTTTCTGAGTATGGTGAAGTAATCCCTCTAACGCTATTCTATTGCAGGACAAGCATGGAGGGCACAGGATACAAGGATGGGACAGCCATATTGCAAGCCCTTCTGAAGACAAGCCAGCAAGGACAGACCATGTGAGTGGCCTGCATTTTTGTTCTATTATTTGGGAGAAACGTATTTATATAGGTAGTTGTTTATTTTTAGATGAGCAGAGGTGACCTTGCTATCTTGCTCTTTCCGTTGAGGTGTTGATAATTGTCTTATGTTGTGTTTTCAAGAATTTTTTTTCTGAGAATGGCCCCCTTTTTTTTTTTTTTTGTAATTTACAACATTTCATTTTATGGATACGGATCTTTAAAAGCCAATGCCCAGTTATTTATTCATTTATCATTTTTTCACGCAAGCAGAACGTTTCCCGGCAATGAAGAGCGGTTCAGCAGCGCGATGTTCAGCTCAGAGGTCAAGGTGGAGGTGGGACCAACAGACCACACGTCAGGGTCGTCGTCAATCACAACGCGCAACATCACCAACTACCCTTGGGATCACCAGTACCTGTCAGGAAGCCTAGTGGCTCTTCACTGCTTGGGAGAGTACCTGGCCTATGCCATCAAGTGTAAGGAAGGGGGATGTAAAACGCTTGTACATGATGTGTGTTGTTTGTTGGTATAATTCATGTGTGTGTAGGTATTGTGCAAGATGTCTGCGTGGATTGAGTTCAGAGGTTGATCTAGCTAAACTGTAAGAAGATGTATAGCAGGTTTGATAACATGGGAGTGAAAGAGTAACACATTCTTACATATTGTTACTTTTATGTTACTCTTCAGTTTAGCAGAGGAGTCCAACTGCTGTATTTCTTTGCTCTCTTTACAGCTCCACAGAAATCCAGTGGAATGGTGAGAATTATTAACCGAAAATCGGGGGACCGTGGCCTGGTGAAAAACATCCGTGGAATGGTGCGAGACCTTGCCTTTGCACACCTCAACCAGAGAGTCATATTGGCCTTTACAGACCATTATGGCACTCTTTATGTGTGTGAAGTGTCTGCGTCCAGTACAGAAGGATCACTTGAGTACGTGGATTTAATACTTTCATTGTTTGGGTTATTAAACTAAATGATAATTGCCCCCCCCCCCCCAAAAAAAAAAAAAAAAAAAAAAATGCTGTGCATTTATATAGGGGTGAAAAAATACTTGATTATTATGCAAGGGCATAATGATTTTGATCTCTTCATCTCTATGTCTTTAGAAATTGCCAATCTAGAAATAGAAACAGATATATCTGATCTTTCGGTTTGATTTTAGTTGTGATAATATGAAAATCATGGTATCCAAAATATGTCCTCTAAAACCAAATAAAAAATCTGCAGCACGGAGCTCTTGCTAGAGGTGAACAGCACATCAGATGAAGCCAGTGACAATCATCGCATCATCTGGTGTCCCTACATCCCTGATGAGCAAGGAGGAGAGGAGGATATAGACGACCCTGCGTACCTGCTAGTTCTCACACATGGCAACAGAGTACGTTTTCTCTCTCTCTCTCTCTCTCTCTCTCTCTCTCTCTCTCTCTCTCTCTCTCTCTCTCTCTCTCTCTCTCTCTTTTAAGGAAGATATTCATAATGTGAAGTGTTGTGTTTGTGAATGTCCTTGGTCATATGAATTTGAATGGTTCATTGTTTTGTACAAAAATTAATATTTGTTAGATGCAGATGATATGCAAATTGAATTATATGAAAAAAGAAATATGTTTAAACTTGATATATACAATTAATCCAGGCGGAGATATGGAACATCAATGTTGTTCTGCGTGAATATGGAAAAGGGCAGATCATGCGTGACAGAATATTAACTGGCTACCAACTCATGGAGCAGCACTCAGCACCCATCACAGACGCTGCATTTAGTCCTGATGGTACAGCTTTAGCAACAGCTGCCCGGGATGGATTTGTTAAGTTCTTCCAGGTAAATAAGGTAATTTCTTGTACTAAAAAAGTAAGCAACTGTTGATTGTGTATTGATCTGTAAATAACTCTATATAAATGTATGTTTATCATATAAAAATGCTTGATTCATGCATTTCACTCAGTGCCTTGAAAACACATAACCTTGCATGCACAGACATTGCTTGCAGACACATACACACTCATATAGACAAACACTTAATAAAAGATGCACATGCAAGCTCACATTTATAAAAACGTACACTGTCATAAACAGATTAAAAACATACACAGATGCCTAATTGTCAACACATGAAAACACACCTCTCAGTCCAGAGCTTTGGATGAATGTCTCTATCTTCACTATCTCTAATAAACTTTCTTCTGTTCATTATTTTCATTTTTTAAAATTCTTTTTATATATAGGTATACATGGCAGATGAAGAGAAGTCGCCAAGATGCCTTCACCAGTGGAATCCCCACGACGGCAAGCCACTCTCCGCACTCTTCTTCCTCGATAACCACAAAAATCCAACCCCAGAGTGAGTTTCTGTTTTTAGGGGGTTCTTTCCTCTTCTTTTTATTTTCTTTTTTTTTCTGTCTTTGATTCTCCTTTTGCCATTGCTTTTTTTTTGTTTTTTTTGTAGAAGACAAAGAACTAAATTTCTGTGCCATTACTTAATCCATTTTTTTCATTGTTTGTACATGTATATGCATATTTATAATTTTTTTTCTTTATCCTCCCAAGGGTTCAGTTTTGGAAGTATGCCGTCACAGGTGCCTGCAACAATTCCGAGCTGCGCGTTTGGTCATGTGAATCGTGGCAGTGTCACCAGACACTACGCTTCGTCCCTTCACCGTCCCTGGGCTCCCTCAAGTTCAAGGCTGCCATGGACCCCTCTGCTAATTTCCTTCTTCTCTCCGATATCAACCGACGCGTGAGTAGACCATTCTAGTTTTTTTCTTTTTTTGTCATTTGGTTTTGTATTCATTTTTTGTTTCTGTGTTTATTGATCTTTTTGTTTTTAGCATATTTCTTATACATTAGTATTGCTCTGTTGGGGTTGCCTCTCTTTCCCTCTTTTCAGTTTTTTCTTTCATCTTTTATATCTCTCTCACTTTCTTCTTTTCCCTTCTTTTCTGTTCTCTCTCACTTTCTTCTTTTCCCTTCTTTTCTGTTCTCTCTCTTCTGCTTTTCCTCTCCCTCTCTCCGTAATTTCTCTTTCTCCCTTTTGTTGACTGTACAAGAGGCAGGATCAGACATAAAATTTCTGAAGGATGATACTTCATTAAGTATTGACGTCCTTAAACATAGTCGGTCAAAGATCACTTCCTTACTTTCAGGTTATGTACGTGATTGTGGTGTGCCAGGATGGTAATGCCAACAGTGGTGGAAGCGTAGGGAACAGCGGGGGAATTGGCACCAGCGGCAACTGCATTGGTGTCAAGAACGGTGGTGGGAGTGGCGGCAGTGCCCGGCTGGTGTCGGTGTCTGAGCTCCCGGTGCAGTACCCTGCTCTCTCCTTGGCCGTGACTGACGCAGCGTGGAAGCCCTACAAGCGGTGGAAACACGACCACGCTCACGACCATGCGCACAACATTCACGGTAGGTGGTCGGTCGTTGCTGGATTTTTGTGTGTGTGTGTGTGTATGTGTGTGTGTGTGTGTGTGTGTGTGTGTGTGTGTGTGTGTGTGTGTGTGTGTGTGTGTGTGTGTGTGTGTGTGTGTGTGTGTGTGTGTGGTCAACTTTCTCCAGAGAAAAGGCACTCATAAGGAAAAGTGTTGATGTGAATTCTGTTCTTTTAGATTAGAATAAAAAAAAAAAAAAAAAAAAAAAATTAAGTTTGGTTTGTAAGTGGTCTACATTCATAAAAAAAATATGTTTGTGAAAAATGTTTTTATGAATTCTGTTCTCATAGGATTTTGCAAGACTTCTTATAAAATAGTTTTCAGTTATGTGTAAAATACCTTTGCTTGTCATTTTACTCTTGAGAAGGCTATATAAAGTACAATCAATTATATTTGATATATCAGAAATTTCAAACACAATATATTTCCGTCTCAGATGATGGTGATGATGATGGAGATGGAGTCGATGTTGTTGAAGGCGTTGTGATGCGCTTTGTCATCATCAACACCAAATCGCTACAGGAAGCAATACTGAGATTCCAGCCAGCCATTCCCTTGTCTGCGTCCAAAGCCACAACTTCCTTAGACTTGAGTGCCTCACAGGATTCTATTGGTATTATTATTGTTATTATTGTTGGTACCATTATTATTATTATTGTTATTGTTATTATTGTTATTGTTATTATTATTGTTATTGTTATTTTTAAGACTCTCTCTAGTTTTCAATATGTTAATTCTCTCTCCCCTTTTCTCTCTCTCTCCCTCTCCCTCTTCTTCTGCCTCTCCTATGCCATCTCCCTCTTCCAACCCTGCTCCCACTTCTATTCCGTCTTCCTCTCTTTCTCCCTCTCCCTTTCCTTCTTCTCCCTACCTCTACCTCTACCTCTACCTCTCGTCTCCCTCCTTTCCCTCTTCTTCCTCCTCGCACACCCTCTCCCCCTCCAAGTTAAGGAAGATCCATTGATTACATTCTTGACGTCCCATTTTTTGTAGAGAGAGAAGGTTAAAAGAAAGCTTTCAAGGGAGAACAATTATTCCCCCCCCCCCCCTTTTCCCCCTAAAAAAGGAGAAAGGAAATGTTTGTACTGACAGAAATGAGTAATGAAATATAAATGGGTGCAGCAGTTCAGTCCATGGTCGTGTTTTGATCAACTGCAATAAGAAAGACACCACACTTGCATTCCAGGGGTGAGGGACGGACTGACGGATCTCAGCATGAGCCTCAGCACCACCGTGTCGGAGGTGGAAGGGGGGGTGAGTGGGGACGGAGGAGGGACGGAAGGCCAACCTCCACCTCCCCCGCCCCCCGATGCCCTCACCTCCCCCCAGAGCAGCAGCCTGACATCGCAACACCCTGCGTTGCACACCCCTCCTGCCACACAGGTGCCTGGCCCACAGTTTGCTTTTTGTTGTAGGATGATAATGTTTTTTTTTTTTTTTTTTATGTTTGTTTTATTTGTTTTATTTTTAAAATTTTGTTGTTATTGTTGTTGTTGTCGTTTTTGTCTGAATTGCAAGTATTTTCGTAATTTCTTATAATTTTCATTTTATTTATATTGATTATAATAATACTAGTGTTGTGAATAATGATATTAATAATAATTTTTGTTATTTTTGTCATTAGTTTTATTGTTGTTATTATTATTATTATTATAATTATGATTATTATTATTATGATCATCCCCTTTCATACGAATCATAGATTTGTGAATTTTTGGATACTGAAGGGTGGACCAAAATTTTTGTTATCTTTTTACAAAAGAAGAATGCAGAAATGCACAAAAAGCTCATGTGAGATAAAGTGTGACTGTAATTTTTTTTTCTTTTTTTTATTAATATTATCTTTGTTTTTATTGTAGAAATGAATTACATAATTTTGTTCTTCTGTTGCAGCCTCCTATGAACCTGCTCACCCCCGACTCCTTCAGTTCCCCTCGCAAGCCAGAGGACATGGAGCATCCTGACGAGAACAGTGAGGACAGTTCTCTCTCAAGCAAGGTATTGGTGCTCTTAAAAATTGTAATCAGATTAGCCAATTGGAAGTAAATACTGTTCGGTTAGGTATTGAGATAAAAGCTGACTTTTTCTTTCTTTCTTTCTTTCTTTTTTTCTCTCTTTCTTTCTTTCTTTCTTTTTTTCTCTCTTTCTTTCTTTTTCTGTTTTTCTTTCGCTTTCTTTCTTCCTTTCGTTCTTCCTTTCAATTGCTCATTCATTCATTCATTTTCTTTTATTATTAAAGTAATAACAGAAACTCGTTGTATACTGTAAGTAAGGTAGAATTGGCTGGTTCAGAATAAACTTAGTGGTGGACTGAAAGAATGGACTCATCTTTATACCAACTCTGTTCCAGGTAACCCCTATATCCAGCAAGTACGACGTGCCCTACAACACCAACTTCGAGAACGCCACTCTCTCTCTCCTATTGCGGTGCGGCTCGGGTACCCTGATGCCCGGCAGCGAAGGTGAGGGAGCCAACAACCTCAATATCTTGGGGTCAGTCGTCTCCGGATCGTCCAAGTCGCCCCCAGCCACGGCGCTACCCCCTCCCCCCTCTGGGACGCCTCCTCCCCTTGATTTCCAGGTGAGTTTTTGAGCGTTGGATAATTATCATGTCTCGGTACTTGGTGCTCAGAACAAGAACCGAATCAAAGAGGAAAAAAAAAATTCACTGTCGTGGTTATGATCTTGGTACATGATGCTCAGAATAAGAACCTTATCAAAGAGAAAAAAAAAATTCACTGTCATGGTTATGATCTATGCAGAATGCTGAGGAAGCGCCACTGGCCACGTCAGAAGTGTCTGTGACTGCAGCGGCTGGTCGTGGGGGGGCCAGCGCCACATCTTCGCCTTCCTTGGAGGTCCAGCAAATCCTTCATTCACAAAATGGTACTGTGTTCCTTGCATATAGTGACCTTTGAGTTTCTCTTTATTTGTGTATTTATTTTTGTACTGGTTTTATGTATATATTTGTTTGTTCATTATTTATTTATCTGTTTACTTATTTAAGTGTGTCTATTTGAGAAATTGAGTGATTGTGATATGTTTTTTGGTTGATGGGTAATAGGATGTTGGAATCCCTAGATGCAATAAATATGAATTTCACAGGTAAGAGTTCAGACTACGCAGAGGATGAGGACGAGGAAGACATCAGGGCGGCAGATGAGGTTGAAATGCCTGATGACGACGAAGATGAGGATGAAGACGAGGAGGAGGACGAGCCAGAAGCCCTGAGACAAGCACATTCCCATCCCAAGCCCCCACCTCTCCCCGAACCCCAGGCGGTGCCCCAGCCTCCTTCCTCACTGGCGCAGCCCACACCCACTTCCATAGCCCCCTCTCACTCCTCGATGCCCCAGCCGTCGTCCCTACCCCAGCCCCCGTCGTCCATGTCGCACACCTCTCTGCCACAGCCTCCCCCTCCTGCCAGCCAGCCTAGCTCCTCCATGCCACAGTTACCCCCTGTGTCTATACCCCAGCCCCCTCCATCCATGTCACACCCACCGCAGACCGTGCCAAAGTTGCCGCTGAAATCGCCACACCTACCAGAAGCATCGCCAACACAGATGAATCAGTTGACACATGCACATGACACGCAGAAATCTATGGCCTCGGCACAGCCTGTTGATGTGTAAGTCTGGGTTTTCAATTATACATTTAAGGCAGGAGTGATGAATTTTGAGATTTTATTCTTAACCCCTTGGTGCCGGGTGACGCCGATCGGCGTGTAAACAAAGCGCTCGAAAGCTGATGTGCAGCCAAACGAGCCAGCGGCGCGCCAAAGCGCGGCGAGCCAGTGATTCGGGCTGATGTCCCCTACTCACACGCTCAAAGTCGGCGCGCCGCCTTTGTTTGTTTAAGCGTAGAGTTTTTTTTTTTGTTTTGTACACCCGGCGCCATTGGGTTAAGAAAGTGTAACAGTGTCTAGAAGTCTAGAAGAAATCTGTATTATTAGCAAAAAAAGCTATCTCGATTTGGTGATAATAATTTATTGATAGATCGAGAATTATAGGTTGTGAGATGAAGTGAATTTGATTTTCTGCTTTCATATAATGAGAAAAATAGGATATGAAACCTTTTTTTTTTTTTGTATTTTTTTAGATATATAGGTAGATTTTTAGTGTTTTTAAAGATGAGCTATTAATTAACAGAGATTTCTTTTCATTCTCTGTTTTCTTGAGCAGGTTTGCCTCGGTAAAGACACTCCCTGCTCAGATAACATGTGCGCAGCTGGAGGCAGAGATCAAGGGAGGAGCCATCAGCCCAGAGGCCACAGAGAGCAGCACCCAACAAAAGTATGAGCAAGTGTTCTGTGTGTTCTGTGTTCATTGTAGTAATTTTGGTAATTTTCTGGTTCTGTTTGAGTGATGAATGATAATTAGAGGTAATAGATCTTTAGTCTTTTTTCTTTCTTTTATGGAAATGGCATTCTGCTCGCTAATATATGGTGTGGGATGTTGGAGATTTCCTTGCCTGCCTTTTTTATGTGTGTGGAGCGTGGGGGGGGAGGGGGGGGAGTGAAAGTCTTGGTATTTATGTAATTGTTGTAGGTCTTCTGGATATCACACAGGATATCTGTAGTTCCAGATATTATAATTTATTCATATCATTTATTCATATGCTGTACAGTGTATATAAATCTCTTCTTAGGGTTTGATTTTCGGGCAATGAAATGTATTTGTTTATATATATTTACAGCAGTCACCAGAGCCAAAGAAACAGAAACCATGTGGGCCTCGTGCGAGCTACAAACAGAAGTGTGCCTGATATGAGAAGTTCGTCAAGTTTAGAACAGACACAGCTCAACGGACCAGTAACGCCAGGGTAATGATGATATTCATTTGTAATATGTTACTGTTTATAGGTAGATAGATTCTCTCTCTCTCTCTCTCTCTCTCTCTCTCTCTCTCTCTCTCTCTCTCTCTCTCCCCCTCTCTCCCTCTCTCCCTCTCTCCCTCCCTCCCTCCCCCCCCTCCCCCCTTACCCCCATACCCCCTCCCTCCCAAGAAGGCTTGGTTGATTTTCTTTGATCTGTTAACTAAGTGAAATTGGATAAACAGTTAATAATAAATGGTACCAAAGTCTTTTCTATAAGCATTGGGGTGAAAAAAAAAAAAAATGAACAAATTATTATTCGATTCTGTCACTAACGGTATCCATTTTTTTTTTTGTATCTATCCCATAGGGTAAGCGCTGCTGAAATTTCCGAACTGCGTAGCCTTGTGCGCAGCATAAGCCTCAGCAGAGACCAGAGCAATGAGGTGCTCTCTCAGACCCTGGCACTTGCAAACAAACTTGACAAAGCAATCCAGCAGGTCAATCAACTGGCAAAGCAGTAAGTAGTTATCTTTATCATATTTGTATCAGTTAAAGGTGCATTGAATTTAATGTTTGGTGAAGTAAATCTTGGAGTTTGTATCTGGATCAGGCTTTGGTTATGGTTTAGGTTATGGTTTAAATTTAGGCTAGATGAGGTGAAATTATAGTGCATTCACTCTGGTGATAAAGGCGGCCACACCCCCTCCCAGGATGTAATCATACGGCTGGCTGGGCTGCATCACAGTTAATGATTAATGATAATGTTTGACCTATAATTTGAGTAATAGCATTTGCTTCTCAAGTTTACAGTTTTCGTCCATTCTTAATCACATTTTTCGTAGATTGTTGATTAAATTAATGTCAGCATATGTTGGATTTTCTATTTCTGTTGAAACATGGGAAGCTGGTTAACAGAGGCTCTATCATGTTTGATTATGATAAATTTGACTAATAATTTGAGTAATACTATTTGCTTCTTCCCAAGTTTTCATTTTTGTCAATTTATGATTATATTTCCCATGCACAATTAATTTCACTGATGCCACTATATCCAATTAGAAAGCTCAAAATATAGTTGCATTTTTCATTAGCACAGCTGGGGTGCAATGGTACCACACCATTTCTGTTCAGATGATCAGTTGTGACTCCTATGTTCCTTTGGGGACAAGTGTTACAGGGTGTATCCTTTTACCACCCTGGTAGTTACGTCTTGAGAGTTTTGTTTCCTCTGAGACAGAATGGAGAGATTGCCGTGGGTAGGCGCTCTATTTGATCCCCATGTAATCAGTTGATCAGTGATCACAATCAGAGGGTGAATGAACTGAATGAAATGTTTATGAATGCAAATTCTTCCAATAAGAAAAATAATATTGGCTCTAGAAGCTGTGGCTCATTCTTGAGCTGACGATTGATATAGAAAAGATTATAAACGTTTGTTTATAATGTTAATTATTTATTTTTATTAGTGTTTTTATCCAATTACTTGCAAAGTATTATGTCAATAAATTTGCTTAATGGTAATTTACAGACTTGAGGAAGAGAAGACTAACAGTAATTTCAGTGGTATTTAGAACTAATGACTGATATGTGTGCAATGTTATGAAAGGTTTTATAGGATTTCATGAGAGCCACTCTATCTTGCAGAGTGGAGGAGGTGAGGGCTGCTCAGTCTCAAGTGCAGATGGACCTTCCCCATGTCGTTGCTGCCTCTCTGCGGCCAGTGGTGGAAGCCACACTCAGGAGCGAGATGCGGAATAGTGTAGTACCTGGTATGCATATTTCTTGTTGCTGCTCTCCCCTAATCCTCCTCTTCCTTCTCTTCTTTCTATTCTTCCTTCTTCTCTTCCTTCTTCTTTTCTTCCTTCCTTCCTTCATAATATTCTCTTCCTTCTCCTCATCTCTTCCGCCCCCCCCCCTCCCCACACCTTCCTCTCTGCCATTACCCAGCATTGAAAAAAAAAGAAAATTGTAAAGCAGATATTAATGTGTTAATTTTTTGAGCTAGATACAAAGATTCACCTTTGTTTATTTTTTTCTTTCTCTTTATTCTCACAGGAGTAGTAAAAGACCATGATCCCCTAAGATCTCACGTGTCACAAGAAGTCCACAATCTCATGAAGACCTCGGAGAACCAGGTCATTGATGCCGTCACTAAAGTCATCCACTCCAGAGTAAGTGGTCAGTGGGCTCGCAGGTTGCACTTTTTGTTTCTTGCTTGTTCCAGAGATTTTATTATTACTATTATTATTGGTATTATTTTTGTTGTTTGTTATTGTTATTAATTATTATTGTTATTGTTATTATTATTATTATTATTATTATCCTCTCTGCCAATTACAGCATTGAAAAAAAGAAAATTGTAAACAGATATTAATGTGTTAATTTTTTGAGCTAGATACAAAAGATTCACCTTTGTTTATTTTTTTTCTTTTCTCTTTATTCTCACAGGAGTAGTAAAGACCATGGATCCCCTAAGATCTCACGTGTCACAAGAAGTCCACAATCTCATGAAGACCTCGGAGAACCAGGTCATTGATGCCGTCACTAAAGTCATCCACTCCAGAGTAAGTGGCGGTGGGCTCGCAGGTTGCACTTTTTGTTTCTTGCTTGTTCCAGAGATTTTATTATTTTTATTAGTGTTTTTATCCAATTACTTGCAAAGTATTATGTCAATAAATTTGCTTAATGGTAATTTACAGACTTGAGGAAGAGAAGACTAACAGTAATTTCAGTGGTATTTAGAACTAATGACTGATATGTGTGCAATGTTATGAAAGGTTTTATAGGATTTCATGAGAGCCACTCTATCTTGCAGAGTGGAGGAGGTGAGGGCTGCTCAGTCTCAAGTGCAGATGGACCTTCCCCATGTCGTTGCTGCCTCTCTGCGGCCAGTGGTGGAAGCCACACTCAGGAGCGAGATGCGGAATAGTGTAGTACCTGGTATGTATATTTCTTGTTGCTGCTCTCCCCTAATCCTCCTCTTTCTTCTCTTCTTTCTATTCTTCCTTCTTCTCTTCCTTCTTCTTTTCTTCCTTCCTTCCTTCATATTATTCTCTTCCTTCTCCTCATCTCTTCCTCCCCCCCCCTCCCCACACCTTCCTCTCTGCCAATTACAGCATTGAAAAAAAGAAAATTGTAAACAGATATTAATGTGTTAATTTTTTGAGCTAGATACAAAAGATTCACCTTTGTTTATTTTTTTTCTTTTCTCTTTATTCTCACAGGAGTAGTAAAGACCATGGATCCCCTAAGATCTCACGTGTCACAAGAAGTCCACAATCTCATGAAGACCTCGGAGAACCAGGTCATTGATGCCGTCACTAAAGTCATCCACTCCAGAGTAAGTGGCAGTGGGCTCGCAGGGCAGGTTGCACTTTTTGTTTCTTGCTTGTTCCAGAGATTTTATTATTACTATTATTATTGGTATTAATTATTCTCTTCCTTCTCCTCATCTCTTCCTCCCCCCCCCTCCCCACACCTTCCTCTCTGCCAATTACAGCATTGAAAAAAAGAAAATTGTAAACAGATATTAATGTGTTAATTTTTTGAGCTAGATACAAAAGATTCACCTTTGTTTATTTTTTTTCTTTTCTCTTTATTCTCACAGGAGTAGTAAAGACCATGGATCCCCTAAGATCTCACGTGTCACAAGAAGTCCACAATCTCATGAAGACCTCGGAGAACCAGGTCATTGATGCCGTCACTAAAGTCATCCACTCCAGAGTAAGTGGCAGTGGGCTCGCAGGTTGCACTTTTTGTTTCTTGCTTGTTCCAGAGATTTTATTATTACTATTATTATTGGTATTATTTTTGTTGTTGTTATTGTTATTATTATTATTGTTATTGTTATTATTATTATTATTATTATTATTATTGTTATTATTATTATTAATGTCTGTTTTTTATTTATTCATTTTTGTTTTTTTTTGTTGAATGCTATCCTGACAATGAATTTGTACTTATGCCTCTGAGTATGTGACATTTGTTAATTATGATATTTTTAAATTGTTCATTCACAACCACCTTATTAATACCACCTTCTGAAATGCCTTTCTCTCCACAGTCATTCTTAGATAACCTAGGAGGAACCGTCGGTGCTGTTGTTGGCCCATCAGTCCAGAATTCCTGCCGTGAAGCCTACAATAAGTTGCTCTTACCAGGACTGAACGCACTGACGCAGCAGGTGTTCTCTCAAGTCAATGAAAGCTTCAGTCGCGGCACCAAAGAGTGTGAGTTGCCAATGTTTTCTTTATCGTCATTGTCATCGTCATCATCATCATCTGTACCATGTTGTATTTCATTTGGTCTGTGTCTCACTCAGTGTCTATGTCAGTCTTTCATTCTTTCAGTCTTCATACATATAGAGTAAGATGTATAATATATATATATATATGTATTATTATTATTATTATTAATAATACTAATGCTGTTACTGCTACTATTTGTGATAATTCATCAAAAACTTGTCCACCTTTGGGAAAACAGACCTTCACAACGTGGAGAGTGAGATGCAGAGTGGTCGCACAGCCATGCAGGAGAGTCTCGGCAAGGCATCCCAGTCTCTGAACACGGCCTGCTCGTCCCTCACCACACAGACGAAGACCCTGCAGGAGAATGTCACCAAACTCGGGTCCCAGCAGAACATGTGAGCCTGATTTGTGTGTTTTTGTAGGGGACTTTTGGGGCCTGTAGATACCAGTGGAATTTTGTTTCTGTTGGTTTTGAAAGGTTTGCATCTTACAATTCATAATTAACCCAGTGGCGCCGGGTGTACAAAACAAAACAAAAAAACTCTACGCTTAAGCAAACAAAGGCGGCGCGCCGACCTTGAGCGTGTGAGTAGGGGACATCAGCCCGAATCACTGGCTCGCCGCGCTTTGGCGCGCCGCTGGCTCGTTTGGCTGCACGCCAGCTTTCGAGCGTTTTGTTTGCATGCCGATCGGCGTCACCCGGCACCAAGGGGTTAAGTACTGTTTAATGTCAGTACTTTTTGTGAATAAGTTACATCACTATATAAGATATTGTATGACTGAGTAATAATGTTTTTAAAAGAGATGTAAACCAAGATCCATGAGACATGAGATCAGAAACTGAATGCAATGTATGTATGTACAGTTACGTGATACTGGAGTGGATGTTATGTAGCACATGACACTTGTTATTATTTGTAATTTTTTTTTTTTTATTCTATTCAATGATAGAAAGTTTTGTAATGTCGATCTCCATTTCCTGTCACAGTACCTTATCCAAGCTGTTCTTTAGTTCATTGAAATTCATAATAAGTTTTTTGTCTGGTACATGAGCATATGCAGATGTTGACAGAATTTCACCTGCAATTACCCCCACAGCATCACAGAATCTCTAGCAGACCGGATTCGTGCGCTGGTCCGAGAAGAAGTGACACGGGCCCTCCAGGAGCACCAGGCCGCTGTCGATGCCCGAAGTCGCGCGCACACACCTGCCCCCGCCCCGCATCCCCACAACCCCAAGCTAGCCCAGCAACAGGTTCAGAACCTCATCTCCTCGGGCCAGTTCAACACTGCCTTCAAGCAGGTACGTTGAATCCAATACCCCCTCATTTAGTGCGGCTTTTGTTTTTCTATGGAAACGGCACTTGATAGAAACAGGAAGACGAATTTTCCATTTCCCTCACCCTCTGCCTCACACTTGTGCTTTGGTGCTTGGTTACACTTTGGTCAGTTACCCTCTTTTTTTCCCCCCCAGTTCAATACTTATTATCCCCCCCCTTTTCCTTTTCCTTATATGAGGGGTTGATTTTGTATATAGTGGTTCTTGTCCCTGCCTTTTAGTTATTTAGTTTTGGTATTTTAACACTTAGATATTGAAAATGATATACTGCCGTAGTTGCTTGTAATTCAGTATTACCCATTTTTTTTTTTTCCCACTTGTGAAGTATTTTGATCAAACTTAATATAATTGTTATCTTTTTAAACATGTAAAACATTTCCTCAAGAGTTAAAAGTTGGCAGTATAGAACCAACGAACTTGTCACACATGACTTTGTGGATTGTGCTTTTTTTTTTTTTATTTGACGGGTGCGGCTGCTACATGGAGTGTGGGTTTCAGGCTCTCTCTGCATCAGACCTTAGCCTCGTGGTGTTTGTGTGTGAGCGTGTCAACCCCCAGCAGGTGTTCAACATCACCCCTTGCCCACTTAGTCAAGATGTGCTTCTGTCCCTCGTCAACCAGCTCTCACATGATCTTTCCACTTTCACTGACCTCAAGATCAAGTAAGTGGCGGTGATGTGAATTCTTTT